ACTAGGAGGCAGTACAGCCATGCTGAGATGGCTTGAGTGGCCTTCCAGCCGCATTGCCAGGCCTGGACCTCCTGGACCCCAGCAATCTTGCTTGGTGTGGATGTCACACCCATGCCACCTGGATGAGTCCACCAGAATGATCTGTGTTGGCCCGGAGGTGAGAGGGATGCGCTAAGGTAAGAGGGTGTGGTAAGTGTTCTTGAGGGGCTTCAACAGGCCAGAATCTTTTCCTGCCTGCATCTTGGCTTCCTCCTTATCCCGACAATACTGGGTTCTTGGGCTAGAGCTTCTCTACCGTCACCCGCTTCCCAGCTGTTTTCACTGCTGTTTCCCACCTCGGTCTTGGCTTAAACGTTATCTTTTCAGGGTTCCCTGGCAGCACTCTATCCCTCCTCATGCTTCCATTTCTAGCTTGTAGGTCTGTCTATTCTGCTTTAAGTCTGCTCCTTAACTCTTCTAGGCAGCCAGGATCAGACTCTGTGTTTCCCAGGCTGCCTGCCGTGTACCTACTATGTACCTACGGTATACCTACTATGGGAACAACATCCTGCACACTTGATCGTGGTACAAATAGTTGTAGCTTAGGAAGCTGTGGTCCCATCTGGCCCTGCCCCTGGGTCCCAGCCTCCCAACAGGTGCTTCAGGACATTGCATCAGGATGCCCACTGGAGGCATGATAACAAGCAACACTCAGATGACACAGGATTCCACACACAGCCTTGCCCCGGTTTTGAGTATTATAATTTCTGCTTCCCAGCTGGAGGCAGCCCCAATATTTCTAAATAATTTATCTAAGCCCCATCACCTAGAATGTGGCCAGAGTCAGTACAGCAGCCTCCTTCATGTTCCTGTAGTCTGGTTTTAGACGTTTCTTCCTGTTGACTTGGGAGTTCCTTTTCTGGCTTCTATTCCCTCAGCAACACTCCAGGCCTTAGCATGCCATCTTCCAGCATTTGCCCCCAACAGCAAAGAAGCATTTGACCTTTTGTGCCTGACAGTGAGGTGTCCTCCAGGCACAGTGCCTGCCTGTAGCCACCCTCCCCTTGAAGAACTACCTTCCTGTTCCTGCCCTTGCCCTTGTCAGCATTTAGGTAGTGCCAGGAGGCAGCTCCAGGTTAATGGAGGTCTTCTGAGCGACCCCTGCTGTCTTTCAGTCTCACAGCAGAGCAGGAACAGGGAGGTTGGCGAAGATGAGAGTTCTTTGACTTTACATTTTTTGAGAGTGAATATCCATCCCTCCATGTACCTGTGCCCAGCATCTTAGCACTGATGGAGAGACACTGGTATGGGCATAAGAAGTAATTCAGGGTCTCCTGTGAGGAGCCTAAGAGATCGTGAGCTCTTTGAGAATGTCTCTGACTCACATGAGCCAGCCAGACATCCCTGGTGCAGCAGAGGCAACAGCAGCCATTCCTTACTTAGGACAGTGTGCCGGGAGTCCCTGAGATCACGCCCGGCCAATGATGTCACAGCAGAGGATGGTGGATTGGCATCTGGGCACTTTTTCTGAAGTCTTCTAGTTGGCAGTACTGCAGCCCACTGAAACTCTTTTTAGTGCCTGGGACTAGCTCTGTCCCCACCCTACCTGGCTACAACGGGGCTTGTCTTCTCTGACTGATTTGAACATAGCTGATGCCTTTAACTTTGCAACTACACTCACAGTGAGCTTTCCTTCTCCTCTCTCCTACCTCCCTTCCCTTTCCTCTCTCTCCTGCTCCTCCCCTCCCCCTTCCCTTTCTTCCCATCCTCTCTCTTCTCCTCTTCGTTCCTTAAATTTATTTTTATCTGTTTAGGCGTCTTGTCTGCATATATGTATGTGAACTATGTGCATACCTGGTGCCCCCAGAGGCCAGAAGAGGGGGTTAGACCCCTTGGAACTGGAGTTACAGATGGTTGTGAGCTGCCATGTGGGTGTTGGGAATAAAACCCTGGTCTTCCTCTGGAAGAATGGCCAGCGATCTTAACCACGGAGTCATCTCTCTAGCCTCTCTTTATCCTCTCCCCCCTTCTCCCCTTCCCCCCTTCCTCCTCCCCTCCTCCTCCCCATCCTCTCCAGTTGTTTGAGTACAGGGTCTTGTGTGGCCTTGAACTTGTTATGTAGCTAAAAGAACAGTCTTGAACTCTATTCTCACCCTGCCACGGTGCTGAGATGTGAAGTGTGAGCCTCCATGCTCAGCCCAATGCTATATGGGTTTTGCTTGATGTATTTAGAACTCTCCATGCATCAGCTTTGGAGGCCAATGAGTACTTCAAACAGGTTTTCTGAAGACACTATACACTTTGGCGCTCTTCCTTCCTTCCTTTTTTCTTTCCTTCCTTCCTTCCTTTCTTTTTCTTTCAGTTTTTCAAGACAGGGTTTCTCTGTGTTATAGCTCTGGCTGTCCTGGAATTCACTTTGTAGACCGGGTTGTTCTTGAACTCATAGAGATCTGCCCACCTCTGCCTCATGAGTGCTGGGATTAAAGGTGTGTTCCACCACTGCCGGGCTGGAGCTTCCTTCTAGATGGCTAGCTTTTTATAGTGCCAGAATGTTGATGGCTAGAGGAAAAAGATGTTCCCACTAGCGTATCAGTGGCATGATTGTTAATGGGGATGACCAACCACTTTCTGACTGAATATGAACTGGCTTCCCTGGAGGGGAAATTTGTGTACTATAAACCTGGTCAAGAGCTGCCTGGGAAGGTCAGAGGCCCTGGTGGGAAGCTACTGCTGGTGTTTGCCTAATGGATACACTGAGTGCCTCAAATTTTCTTCTAAGTATTTATGATTATACAGTGCTGCTCCCAGCTTCGGTCAGAGGGGTTTCTTTTGTAGGGGGCATCATTTGTAGTGGGCACTGTAATGGGCCAAAGTACTGAGAGTAAGAGATTGTCATGTTCATCCTTAAATGGGACTTTTGTGTCATCTACTCCAAGGTACAGGAACATCCCTTAGATGGAAAGGACTGGACGAGCCAGATGATGGGGGAGCAGTGCTGTGAAATGCTGTCCCTTCCATAGGATATGCCCATTACACTTAGGAACGCATAGCAGCTGTGGTTACCTGCACAAGATTGGGCCCATTAACAGTCTATCATGGATGTGGGAGGGGAATATGAAGTCCCACCCTTCCCTGAGGAGCTACTGGTATTTCGTGTGGCTGGACGAGAAGGAAACATTTTCTTCAGTGGTGTAGTCACTGTAAGTTGCCCATAACCCTTCACCCATGGTCATGTAAGCACTCCGATCAAATTCATCAAAGTAGAAGGAGGCTGTTTGGAAGAGGAAGGATTCAGCAGCAGCGAGAGAGGACAAGAAAGGGCAGTGGGGGTGAACGTGAACAAAATGCATTATATATATTTATGTGTGTGTGTGTGTGTATGAAAATGTCATAAGAGCCATTATTATGTATGATGCATGCTAAAAATTAAAAGTAAACTCCACTTTGTATTAACAGAACAAAATGGGCTTGGCATGGTGGTGCACACATTTAATCCCAGCATTTGGGAGCAGAGGCAAGTGGCTCTCTGAGTTCAAGGACAGCTTGGTGAGGTCCATAGTAAGTTTCAGGACTGCCAGGGCTACATTGTGAGGCAAGCCTCCCTCCACTCCAAAGAAAGAAAACAAAACCATGTCTTGAAGCCTTGCCCACTTTCTAATGGGTGCCAGTTGAGGAAAGTAAAAAAGAAAGGAAAAAAAAAAAAAAAAAAAAAACAACCTGAGTGGTAAAATAATGTTTTATTCCATGGATGACAAATGCCCTCCGACCTAATCTTGCAGCCAGAGCTGGCTCCCAGTTTCAGATCTCCTGGGCTTTGCTGTCAGCCAAACCTGTTGAAAACATGGTCTGTCTGTCAGCATGAGGTCCCTTCTCACCAATGCAAAATCCCAGGATGCAACTTTCCCAACAGACCTAACAAGAACCAATGCTCCAAGCTCGTGTGGACAGAACCAAAGCCCCCAAACATTAAAAAGAAACAAACACAAAACAACATGGACACATCTCTGAGGACAGGGTTTCAGGGCACCCCAGCAGGAGTGGAAACTGGGCTGATCCGTACTGATACACAGGTTGTCAATAATCCTGAAAGGAAATTTCAAACTAGCACTTCTGAAGAGGCCAGCTCAGCCCAGGAGGTGTCTGCATGCAAGCTCAACACAAGGTCAGCGCCGTGTAGGGGAGGGGGCTGCACAACGCCAGACACACATTTCTTGCTTTATATACAATGAAATGAAATATACACGGGTGACAGTGGCCACGCATCTGGTCAGTAGTGTTATCTTACAGGGCTGCGCTGACATCACTGTCAGCACAGAGGGCAGAGCCAGCCCTGGGGCTGGTGATGACATGGCCGGGCTTACTCAGCATACTTAAGGGTGTTCTGTCTTGTGATTTTTAACCAAATGTCACCTGAAAAAACGGGACAACTGATCAAAGGGGAAGAGGAGTAGTTTCAAGGACACGTGTCATGGCTGCTGGATGCACAGACAAGTCCTAGTGCCACTCGGGGAAGGTTTTACTGATGAACTTTCGTGAGGGCTGCTGTGTGCTCTGTGTCCTTGGTGTCTGAGATACCTCCACCAAGTCTAACAGAGACAGCAGATGTTCCAGAATGATCTCTTTATCCAAACAGGTGCAACATGGAAAGCATACCAAAGCAACGAAAGACAGAAAGGATACTCAGAGTGGGATAGTCCGGGCACAGAGACAGTGGGGTGTCCAGTTAAAACCATAGAAAAATACAAAGTAATTCTACAAGGTTAACCACGGGCAGAGCTATAGTCTTACTTTGTACATAAAAGACCTCTTTTCTGGGTGCAGATAGGGACAGTGGGGGCTCTTCAAACCACAGAGAGGGGCCAGGCATGTATGGACACTGCGGAGACAACCATGCTGTCCTGTTCCCACGGCGCAGCTCTGTCAGACAGGACTCACAGGCGAGAACGTGAATGCAGTGTATGAATGCAGACGGTAGGTCTCAATGTTACAGCGAAGCTTAACTTAAGGGCCGGCTTTCTTGGCCCTCACTGTCACCTGTCCTTTACTTTGTCCCCTTGGGGGAGGGACGTGGGATGTGCCAGTCATTGGGGGCCAGGAGGAGGCGATGCTGCCCAGGAGGGGTTGTTCCAGGCTATGTGGTGACCTGTTTCCACCTGGAGCTTGTTGCCCCCACCAAATGGCCTTCAGTATCAAGACACATGCTATGGAATGCGACACCTCCACTTCCACTGCCTGGGAGAGAGGGTGGTGGCAGGGAGGATTCCTCAGTTGCATATTGTTGTAAAAAGAGCCATGTCTGTGCTTAGGTCTCAAGAGTGCTTAGTCCTCCTCCTCGTCCTCTTTTGCTGTGGCTGCCGGTAGCTTGTCCTGGATCCTGAAACATTCCACAAAGAAGTTGATGATGGACCGGTACAGATGTTGCTTGAGTGCCATGCTGTGGAAGTAGTGGCTTTCATCCGGGTAAATCTGAGAAGGGAGAAGAATGGGGTTATTTACTCCTCAACAGTTCACCTGCCAAAGGGACTTCTGGAGGCATGCAGGAAAGGCAGTATGGGAAAAGCCAAGCTCTGCACGCTGGTTCTGGCTGCAGGATGAATTCCCCAGCATCAGGACCTTTCCTCTGGGGAGCTCTGCTTCTGCACTAGGACTCTGGCAGCCCCGGCAGGCCATGGAAACTTACCAGTCTCCCCAACCTCCGCCCTTGGCACCTCTCTTTCTCCACCAAGGGCAGTGGATCAGAAAGGATTGGCTAAGATGGAAAACACTCCATTTAGCAGACTTTCTGTCAGAGCTACTTGTCCTATTTTGCAACCTGGGTACACACTCAAAAACTACAGGGTCACAGGTTGAGGACCAGAGGAGAGAGGGAGGGAGGGAAAGAGAGAGACAGAGACAGAGAAGAGAGGGAGGGGGAGGGAGGGAGAACAGGGGGAGAGGGAGGGAAGGAGGGAGAGAGGGAGGGGGAGGGAGGACAGGGGGAGGGGGAGGGAAGGAGGGAGAACAGGGGGAGAGGGAGGGAAGGAGGGAGAGAGGGAGGGGAGGGAGGACAGGGGGAGGGGGAGGGAGGGAGGACAGGGGGAGGGGGAGGGAAGGAGGGAGAACAGGGGGAGAAGGAGGGAAGGAGGGAGAGAGGGAGGGGGAGGGAGGACAGGGGGAGGGGGAGGGAAGGAGGGAGAACAGGGGGAGAGGGAGGGAAGGAGGGAGAGAGGGAGGGAAGGAAGGAGAGAGGGAGGGGGAGGGAAGACAGGGGGAGGGGGAGGGAGGGAGGACAGGGGGAGGGGGAGGGAAGGAGGGAGAGGGAGGGGGAAGAGAGGGAGGGAGAGGAGAGAGAGACGGACACTTTTTGGCTGAGTGAGTCTCCGGATTGGAATGAGCCCCAGGCTGTCTCCTATCTGACCCCTCACTGCTGGCTTGGTGTACACTCACTCAGCTCGGTGTGGGTCCAGGTGATGTGCGAAGGAAAACTGAATAGAGTCTGGCTTTTTTTTTTTTTTTTTTTTTTTTTTTTTTTGAGAACCGAATATTACAATACCAGTAAGCAGCAGGACAGGCTTGTGACAAGGGAGGAGGGCTGATATGCAGGCAAGTCAGGCCTGGGGGCTCTTTGGTGTATGGCTGATGCAATTACACAATCAGTCCTTTAGGGGCACTGTGCCAGTCCTGTATACACAGCACCAGAAGCCAAGTGTGATTTGAAATCTCACTCTATTTAAGCCCAACCTCATTCTGAATCCTGTATCCTTTCCATGCCTTTGTGGGTAGCATTCATCTTTGTTTTTGTAATGATGCCGTTACCCTGGAATGTGTAAGACGGCAGTAAGGTAGCATGCATTGTTCCTGTCCTGTGCTCTCCCCTGGAGCTTGTCGTGACTGCAAACTCTGGAGTGTCTGTGAAAGCATCTGCTGTGTTGGCTTGCATGGCCCCAGCTGAGTCCTTTCCTAGGCACAGGTGCCATGATGTGTATACAGTATACTTAACAAATCCAGAGTGCATCACACTCTGGGATGTAATGTAACCAAGCCCTTCACCCCATTCAACAACTCTCAGGACAAAGTCGTTTCCTTACTCAGCCCACATACACAGCTGCCACAAGTCACTGGATGCTGAACGCAGAGGCAGAAAGTGCGCAAAACCAGATAGCCCCTCTCTGAGGGAGACACGGCGCTCACTTGCCCCTGGCTCTTAAGACAATGAGGTTATACCTGTTTTATCAAAGGAGCCAGAGAGCAAGAAGGAAGTGAGAGGAGCTCCCAGCATCATTCCTGTGCATTGCTGGGAAGAGGTAGGAGTGAATACTGGTGAAGACCATCATGGCTTTGGGTTCTGGGATGGGCAGTGCCTGACCACAGCCACAGAGGGTAGAGGCGCTTGGTACACTCTCAGGGGCGTTTGCCCAGAGAGAGTCAGAAAGAGAAAGGCCCAATAGCCATCTACGCTGGGACACCAGCCCTCCCCACACCTACAGCACACAGCCAGGGCCCACAGTGCTTAGAGGAGGAATGTGGGGCAGGGTGGGGTGGAACGGTGGTGGCTTGGATACAGATCTGAGCTGCTGTCAGTTGAAGGGGACTGGCATGATCTGGTGTGGACCTCACTCAGTCCTGTCCCCATGACAAGGGCCATCTTGCTTTAAGTGTAACATCTAGCAGGTAGCATTCCATACCTGTAAGCTGTAATTGGCCTTTCCCTTGATCAGCTGCGTGATGAGCTCAGCTGTGTGCTGGAAATGGATTTTTTCTGTAGAAGAAGACAAACATTTGCCAAAACTCACATCATCACCCAGGGGATCTTCAACACAAGGGGGCTGGGGGCGGGGCTCTGTTCTTACCATCAGCTGTGGCGTGGATGATCAGGAATTGCTGGTCCTCCAGTGCCGACACTCGGTGTGCCAGCTTGGTCATCTGCATGTGTGGAGCAAGGGACAGAGTTAGCTGTGGGGCAGGGACAGGGAGCAGGTGGGGGTGGGAACACTGATGGAGGGATCAAAGCAAGTGGAGAGAAAGGCCAGGACCCTGGAGAGCAATTCCCTTCGAGAAGGGGAAAGGAGAAAGTGAAGGAGACTCTCCAAGAATAGGTGGCCTTAGAGGCCCAACATGTCACTCAGCGACACTGATCAGCCTTGTCCCTCTGTCCACGTCCTGACCACAGGGCTCTGGCCTTCTGCCTGTGCATGGCTGATGACATGCTGTGTACAACACTCTGAGAAACTGGATGGCTGGATGTAGTAAGAAACCCAGCTTACAGTTCACCCTCCCAAAGGGGAACTGGCCTTGATGTAGGGACCCCCAACAACCAGCAGCGCCCTGGGCTTTCTCGTCTCTCACACCCATCAAAGCCAACCATGAGACCAGATGAGCTTACAGAGGCCACATTAATCTAGTTCAGTGCAGTGCGGCTGGGGGATGATCCCAAGGTGTTGATGGTAGAGAGGCCCAGGCCCTTGGAAGGGAGAGTGGTGTGGGAGGAAGGGGGAGAGTTGGTCGACCAATTTCACCTGGTTTTCTGTCTTGCCAAATAACAGCTATACCAAGCGTACCTCATATGCTCTGTTGTCGAGTCCGTGGAGGCCAAGGTACCGCTCGGAAAATGCAGAGGCTGGACAGAGGCAAAGGAGAGGGGTTATCCCTGGTCCTTAAGAGCTCCAACAGGGCAGAGCCCCGATAGAAGGGACGAGGCTGCAGGATGGGGCTGTCTCCTTGCTACTTGCATGGTAAATGCTAGGCTTTTTATTTATTTATTTTTTGAGAGAAGGTCTCACCATGTAGTTTTAGCAGACCTGGGAACTGGATGTGTAAGCCAGGATGGCCTCATATTCACAGAAATCCACCTCCCTCTGCCTCCCAAGTACTGGGATTAAATGTATGCACCATCATACTGGACTTAAATTTTTGGGATTTAAAAGATGTCTCCAAAATCTCCTACATCATGTCAAGGGAATCAAACAGTGTATTTGTGTGTGGGGTGATGCTTAAATGTGCCATCCCTATCGGATTTCTCTAATCAGCTTAGGTCTTGGTTTTGCACATGTGTGCCAGGTGACACACATGCTCCCACAGCATTGCTCTGTCAGAACAATCAGGGATAAGGACCAACTTCCATGACACAGGGCTTCTGGGGGAATCCTTTGTGAGTAGGGAGCCAATGGAAGGGACTCTGTTGTTCATTAAGATACAGGTGGGCTGGGGAGCTCATCAGGACAGGGCCTGCCCAGCATGCACGAAGTCCTGGGCCCTACATCCAGCACTGAAAAAGTGTGTGTGTGTGCATGAGTGAGGGGTATCATTTCTGCATATTTGAAGCAGGCAAATTTGGAATAGCATGAAGACTAAGAAATTAAAGTTTCATTGAACTTGAATGATCCAATACACTATACATATACTCCCATGAGATGGCTAGTACGGAGTTGAAGCAGGGGCATTCTCATGGACAGGTCAACGACATTTGCATTAGAGCTGTGAGGACCTGGTCATGAGGCCCCCAGAGACTGCTGGACCAGTGCCCCACCTACCTCAGGTCTGCTGCATGGGGCCTACAAGTGCTAAGGAAGGGTACATGGACGTCAGGAGGGACACAGCGAAGAGCATAGCTCCTACAGCACTGCAACAGACTTAAGAAGGTCCCTGGTTCTTGCCATCACTTAATATGAGATCCCTTGGGGCTCACAGCCTGGTGTCCTGGAGTACTAAACAGAATGTGTATTCTCAGAGCCACTTAAGACTTTGTGTTGAGTATCACCAAAGTCATGTACTGCCAGAGGAAGGGGTGACAAAGAGAGGACAGTTCAGGGCTTGGGACTCAGTATAGATCAGGGACCATGTCTGCTTGGGCAGATGACTCTCTCCCACCTTAGGTGGTCTCAGGTCTGTTTGGACCCCACAAGACATACTCACAGCCCACCCCTGTTATGAGTAGGTTTTCCCCCTCCGGTCTGGTCCCACTACCGCACCAGCCCCAAATAACACACAGAGATTCTGTATTAGATATAATTCTGTTGGCCAGTTACTAGTTTCTTATGGGCTAGCTCTGTCTTAAATATTAACCCATTTCTATTAATCTAGTACTTCCACTCTCTTACCGGAGAGAGGGGATGGCGTTCTCTCAGTCAGTCCACCATCTTGCATCTCCTCCCTCCTACTTCCTCTCTTCTCCTTGTCTCCTAGTCCCACCTATCTTGCTTTCCTATTGGCCAACAGTGCTTTATTCATTAACCAATACGAGAAACATATTTACAGAATGACATCTCCCATCATCTCCTCTTTTCTGTCTAAAATAAAAAGAAGGGTTTTAACCTTAGCATAGCAAAATATATCACACAACAGTTATCAAATAAACATCACATTTAACAATATTTAGTCCATTAACACTTAGTAAGATTTAAAGAAAATATTCCATCATCTATCTATCCTATCTTTGTGAGTCTAAAGGTAGGATAACTTACCTTTAATCCTAAGGAAAACTATAACCATAAATAGCTGTCTTCAACTCCCACAAAGACCACAGAAGGATGAAGATGGAACTTTACAGAAGAACTTCAAGTGACTGACCAGGCAGTGAGTTGTCTCTGTCATTTCTAGAGTTTATATTTATCCTTCTGTGGTCTTTAATTCTTACTAAATGGGGGGGGGGACTAAGAGACTAAGAGGAGAGAGGAAGTAGTAGGGAGGAGAATTCAAGATGGAGGACAGAGAGAGCAGAATGCCAGCCCCTCTCTCCGGTAAGATGAGACCCCGTGGAAATACTTAGATTAATAGAAATGGGTTAATATTTAAGACAGAGCTAGCTGATAAGAAACTAGTGCCTGGCTAACAGCTTTATATTAAATGCAGTGTCTCTGTGTGTTATTTGGGGCTGGAGTGGTTGTGGGACCAGATCGGCTGGCAGGAAAAACCTGTTCATAACACACACCCCACTTCTAGTCCTGCTCATGGGAAACTTCACTTTGCACAGACAAGTATGGCTAGATGCCATCCACCTAGCCAAGTTATTTAGACCCTCATTGGATTCTCTCCCTGGAACAGTGATATCCTTGACATCACCAGTATTGTCTGTGTGTAACTACCCACCCCTCCTCCCTTCTTCCTCCTTCTGTACTTGCCGCCACATACATTCCTGAAGCAGGAGAAAGATGGCTTAGGCACTGCTATCTGCCTTCTCCCCACTTGCAGGGACAGGGTTTTCTGAAGTCATTACTGTGAGCTAGCCTTGGATTTTGGAGAGTGACTGCTGCCCATTGGTGGACTGAGCCACCTTCACTCCAACAATGACCAGGGACTCCCCTTCTGCCCCAGGGGTGTCACAATACACCGAAGGTGCTTGCTGTTGGGCACAGAGGTGCTGAATGGAAAGGTGGGTTTATGCTGCAAGCTCAACAGTGAGTCTCATCAAAGCCATTACCATAGAGTTTGAAGTCTGTTATTGGAGAGAGTGCTGAGCCGCATGTGAAGGTCTGCCCTTGATTTTCTCCCTTGGCTGGAAGGATGTAAGTGCTCAGGTAACCGCCATAATCCTAGGAGACATAAGAGGGAAGGGAAAGAGGCAAGGGGTGGGGTCACTATCCACAACGCAGTAGGAAACGAGCCTCGGCCCATGAAGGCCAGCTCCTAATGTGTATATGTTCATGCAGTTTTTCAAAGACTTGAACTTTAATAGATGAGACATTAACACTTTCCAGGTTCCATGTTGTATAACACAGTCTCCCCTTCTTCAGGACCCAGTGCCCAGAGACCTGGAATAAGTATGCTAGTGACACAGAGATCCTCTATGCAATCACATCCTCTGCTAGGATGGTGACAGAGGAAGGCTGGTGTCCAGCTGGTGTCCAGCACTGCAGCCCAGCCTCCCTTCCAGTTCCTTATCTACAGCCTGTGTAGTCCTGCAGAAGCTGAACTGGAGCCCAGTGACAGTGGGGTGGAGAACAGGTCTGCATGGCACCCAGCCTGGGCTTCACAAAACCCTTATGTGTGCCTGCAGATAGGGTGACCTGACTGCTAAGACATGGGAAACTCCAGCATGGATCTCCGAGCTGGAGCTGTGCCCCATCACTGTCTGGCACCTTCCAAGTATTCGAATCTGCTGAGAAAAGTCAAGGGGGAGTGAGAGAGAGGGGGAGACAGACAAAGGAGAGGTGAGCATCTGCATATACGTGGCCATATAAGCGAAGGAACATAAGGACATGTGTGCCTACATGTGTGGGCACACAGCTGAAAATACAGTTGAATGAATATGAGTGATATTGTGTCTGTGTACTTATGTGAACATGTGAGCTCATAAGTGTATGTGTGAGTGCATGTGTATGAATGTGTAAATGTGGTATAAACATGTATGTGTCAGTGTATGTGAACATGTGGCTATATGTATGTGGGTACACACGCTTATGTACAAACCTGGGAGTGCTGATCATGGCAACATGGGGTGTGGAGAACCCCACAACTGATGAAGCCTGGGTGACAACCACATCACGCCAAGCTTGGTTGATGGTGTGTCTAGTTTGTTATATTATGTATTGTAGTGTTTCTTTTTTAGGCAGGGCCAATGAATCATGTCACTGTCATTGACGATGAAAGTATTTCAGTTTCCTTTTATGCTTCCTTCCTCATCTTCCTGTCCTTCTGCAGACAGGACTGTACTATTTAGCACAGGCTAGCCTTGAACTCTCATCCCTCTTTATGTATGTGGTGGGGTTATAGGTGTGTACCATGGCACATCATTTTCTAGAAACTATTTTTTTTTCTTTTTTGTGAGTGGACTCAACATGTTCCTAAAAGCCTATAATTTCTTTCAAACATTTTTTTTCCTAGTGGGCCTTACGGTTTTAAATGAGAGGCTAGTTACACTTGGCATGGTGGCCTGCGGTCTCTGGCCAGAGCTCACAGGGTGCAGCTCACAGATGTCCCCTGTGTGTGTGGAGCAGATACTGCGGCACAGGGCTCCCTGGTCCTGAGCTCCCTCACTGTGGGAAGAAGGGAGATGTAGAGCTGGGCTGCACACAGAATCACGTCCATGAAACAAGAGGAAAGGTCACAGAATGCCAAACGATGGCACCTGCCGCCGCTGAGATGCTCAGTTGGTAAAGGCACCTGCTGCTATGCCTGAAAACCTGAGTCCATCCTTGGGATCAACATGGCGGAAGGAAAGAAGCCACTTTCACAAGCTGTCCTCTCACTTCCTTAGGCATGCTATAACTTGAGTGCACGAATGCATGCGCGTGCGCGCTCACGGGCGCGCACGCGCGCACACACACACACACACACACACACACACACACACACACACACACGGGCATATAGTGTAATAATACTAATAAAGAATTGACAGCCCATGCTGGGCACCCTGGGAGAGAAGGAAGTGGGGAACCCGAGTTGGAGGCTCACAAAACCTCTGTTTAAGATACCTTTAAACTACACCGGGCATTCATGGCACACACCTTTAATCCCAGAGGCAGGTGGATCTCTGTGAGTTCGAGGCCAGCCTGGTCTACAAAGACCTAAGCAAAGTAGGAGACCCGACTCAGCAGATCAGGAAAAGCAAGCAACCAGACCACTGCTTGCCTGCCTCTACCAGTGGGGGTATGAATGGCACCTGAAGGTGCATGGTCCCTCCTCACATGGCATACTTGACTGTGTAGCCCAGCTAGCCACACTCTGATAAAGCCCACTGACAACTGAATGACCCTGGGCCTGCTGCGGCCAGAGAAAGTAATACTGTCCCAGTGGGCAGTACTGCCTGAGGCAAAGAAGAAGGGCCAAGCTAACTCAGCTTCCAGATGGACACACTGGCATATGTTTGGGGACAGTAAAGCTCAATGAAGCCCCAGGCTCTGTCCCCCTCACTTCTGCCACAGGGGTGTTGGGAAGTCAGGGATGTGAGGGTTAAGGGTGTGGTGAATATTGACTCTCAGTTAAGGTTCTCAGTGATCTAGCTGGCCCTGGGCTGCTCACAGGCAGGAGTATCTACAACAAGCTTCAGGGCTATCTCGAGGCTCTGTTCTGCCTCTGAGCCAAGAGGAGAGCCCACTGGTGGCTCCCCCTGTGGCCTTGCCTCTGCAGGTGCTCAGGTGGATTGAAGTTCAGAGGAAGCAACTCCACAGGCTCATGTTTGGAACACGAGGCCCCAGCTAGTCACATTGCTCTGGGAGACCAGGGAACGTATTTGGCCTAGCTGGCAGGCATTAACTGGGGCCATGAACACCCTCTTTAAATAAGAAGGGATTTGGGGCTCCTAGCTCAGTTGTTAAAATAGAAGGTCACAGCCAGTAACTGTACCCCTGGCCACAGTCCCTCTGCTTCCTGCCCCCATTCCCCCCAGAGACGTAATGCTATCCAGTACCATGGCTGCCATGCCTTCCTCATTGTGGAGCTAGGAGCCAAAATAAAACCTTTCTCCCTCAAGTTGCTTCTGGTAAGGTGTTAGGTGAGAGCCATGAACAAAAACAGGCTCTGTTCCACCTGTCTCTGGGGTCTCCCACATGATACCGTGAGGCCCCCAGTGGACACTGTGCACCAGTCTGTGGTATGTACTCTGGTACTGACTGGGTGGGGGGGCTCTTCTGAAGGGGTGGGGCTTCCACAGGAGGAAAGGTGCACAGCCATGAGCTCCTGGCTTTCTTGAGAGTAAGGGGTCTCCAGGCTAGGTTGTATGAGGAGGCGAGGGTGACATACTCTGCCACACAAGTGGCCCTTGGAGACCTAACTCCCATGCCTGGGCCTCCACTGCAGCCCCTGTGGGCCAGCTGAGGCTATGCCATGAGCTGCCAGGTGGAAACTGCTCTGGTTTCACCACAGGGAACCCACAGCCTTCCTTCCACCTGAGCAAATGTGGGGATTAGTGTTTTTGTACACGGGAGGGTGCCCACACCCTGGTTCCTGTTCCCTCCTCTCCTGGAGTGCCCACCAGAGCTCACCAGGTTCTGCAAGGGATGAAATGAGGAGCTCAGGGGGGCTCTCTGAAATGGGAGAGGAGGAAACAGCCTGCTTTCTCTCCTTCTAGGTCATGTGACCCACAAAGCCGCAGTCATTAACCTCTTACTCTCCTTTCTCTCCCTCCTCCAAGGCCACAGTTGACCTCAGTGGCTCAGAAGGAAGATGATAATGGTGAGACACAGTTCTGCTCCGGGGCTCAGAAGACAGCATGACTCACCTTTCCAAACACAGCCACCCGTGTCTTGTCAATGTACTGCTCCTTCAGCATGGTCCTGGAAGAGAGGCATGAGAACTATGTGGGTCTGCTCTATAGCCCGCATCCATGCTATCAGCCACAGCACGCATGAAGAACCTCTTCAAATGAGAAAGGATCCTGGGATTCTAAATGTAGTTGCTTACCTACATGAGCGGGTGGAAGATATCAGGACCTAGAGAGCTTCAGGGGGTTAGCCTTACAGCTATTCCTGGACTCTTGTGTGTGAGTGCCTGTGGCTGAGAAGTGACGACACTGATGTCTTTCTAGAGCATGTTTGCTGTTGGTTTTGATTAGCTTTGGGCTCACTCCTTGTTTATAGAGAATGAATGAAAACAACCCTCAGGTCTTTGTCCCCAAGCTCTGAGGGAGCAGATCCAGGGACCACATGATCATAGGTTGAGTCTGATGAATTCCTGATCTTTCTTCTGGGTTCTCCATAACAGGGAAGGGACACTGAGCCTCAGTGGGATGAGGTAAGCCTGATGGGATGATGTAAGAACAGGAGAAGACAGGGAAGGAGACTAGGCAGGAGGGCAAAGGGCAAGGACAGTTCTTTTTCCTACAATGGCTCCTGTGAGCCCACTCCAACCCTAGCCTGCCTGGATGCTGCCTCACTTTTCTTGGGAAGTCTACCTTGTGCAGCGTGGGTTACCAGAAACCCCCTGCTCCTCCTCCTTACAGACAGGAGCCAGTTTCCTTTGTCCCTGTCCTTCCTCTGACAGGAATTATCCCACAGCCTGAATCAGGGCCACCTGGTCTCCAGGAAAGCCAGCTTGCTGTCTGATGTTGCAGCTCGCTGTCTAATGATGTGCAGTCTTGCAACCGTTCTTGGCCATTTCTTGCTTGTGTGCGGGGTTCTGGGTATGAAATGAAGATTACAAGGCTGCTTTCAAGTCATGGAGCTCTTTCTCAGTTTCTGGAAGTTGCCTCTATTTTCCTGACCAGCTAGTAACATTGAAAGACTGTGGAGCTGATGTTATCATAAACATGGCTATCCTCAACTGAGAAAAGTTACTTGGAGTGAGGCTGTCCTGTTTGGCTGTATAGATAGACAAAGTCTGCATCTTCTTGACACTGCTGGTCTCTGGAACTCCAGCTCTGGGGTCTGCTGTCTCTGTGGACCTTCAGAACCTACAAGACTCCTTACCTTAAAGGCAAATACAAGGTGTGTGTGTGTGTGTGTGTGTGTGTGTGCGCGCGCGTGCGTGCGTGCACACATGTGCACATATATCGTTGTTGTTGACTTCTGTCAAAAGCACCCACACAGAAATGCCTTCCATGATGGTTGGGCTCTTGAGATGCTCCTGTCTGTGCCTTCTTATTTTGTGTATATGGAGTTTTTTGTTTTTGTTTTTGTTTTTTTGTCTTGTGTGCCACTTACATGTAATACTCACAAAGGCCCGAAGGTGGCATCAGGTTACCTTAGAACTGGAGTTAAGAGACAATGCTGAGCTACCAACTACCTTATGGGTGCTAGAGACTGAACCTGGGTCTTCTGGAAGAACAATCATGTTTTTAACCACTAAGCGATCCCTCCAGACCCATATGATTTCTGTCTATAAGATTCATGGGGTTTGAAGACATCATCTTGTCTATCTTTGGCTGGTGCATACTCCCTGGTGTGGCTTGAATCATGTTTTGAGCCTTGAGCATTTGCTCCTTGGACGGTGGGGTTGTGTAGGGAAACTGTGGAACATTTAGGAAGTGGGTACCAGATGGTGGAAGTGAAGCTTCATGGCGGACTTGTGAAGGTTGTAGTTCAGCCTAGATACTACCTGCCACATGCTCCCAGCTACCAGGACCCTGGCACGCATGCCCTGCCACCATGGGCTGACTTTCTTGAACCTGTGAGCCAAATAAACCTTTCCACTCTTGGGTCATTTCCTCTGGCATTTTGATCACAGTGATACAAAGGTAGCTAATAGACCCTGAAGAAGAAGGCCCTTTGCATTAAACAAAACAAAACAAAACAAACAAACAAAAAAACCACATGCTTTAAAAAGTCAGCCAAGACTTCTCCCGGGAAGCTTTGGAGCTTTGGGTGTGGGGTGTTGGCTGGCTGCAGTCACACATGGGATCTCAGCCAGCCCTATACTCTCCCATCATACCCAGGCTGATGAACACACCCACCAGGATGGCCCATGTCACATGGCTCTTCCTTGCCCTTCAAAGCCTCCAATTCTGTGTGTGGGGGGTGGGGGTGGGGTGGGACCATTTTCACTTCAATCTCCATGCACAACCGTGTTCACAGTTCCGGGTGCTGTAAGCTCCGCTCGATCCTGGCACAGGTTCTTCATGTTCCTTTAAAGTTCCCAGGACAATGCCAAGCATGGTTTTGAGTACCTGTCCCTTGGTACTAAGCTCCTTCTCTCCTTGGTGGTACTTGGTGGGCCTCATTTATTTGGTGACAACATGAGGAAGAGGTAAGAACTGAAGACAGGCCACTGCTTAGAGTCCAGAGGGCATCTGACCAGCCACAGGGTCTTCTTTGTAATGAGGTCACCCTTAGCCTTCCTCACCTCCACGCATCTTCTCTCTCTGGTCTTCCCTCCTTCTCTCCCTTCCTCCCTCTTTCCCTCCCTCCTTTCTTCCTTCATTCCTGGAGATGCCTGCACAGCCAACCACAGAAGCCACAGAATAGAGAAGCCAGGCAAATTGCAATGGTTTGAATATAAAATGTCCCCTAAAAGCTCCTGTGTCCATATTTTGGGAGGTTTTAGGAAGTAAAGTCTCATTGGCAGAAGTAGGTCGCTGGGAGGTGGGCCTTCAAGTTTATAGATCAGCACACTTCCTGACCTCTCTCTCTCTGCTTCCTGACCCAGTGAGATTAGAGGATTCCCAGCCAAGGTTCCTGATACCATGAACATTGTGGCACCTTCTCAAACTGTGAGCCCACATAAACCTTTCCCCCTGAAGCTGCTGTTTGTGAGGGACTTGGGATAATAACAGTGATTAATACACAGACCCAGCTCAGTCTTGGCCTCTGGTCCTGTGCTTAGATCAGTTCAACACAGAAGCCACCAGGCTGTGTGGAAGTCATTATGGAACCTTTCAGGAGAATCCTGCTGGCAGTCTCCTTGGAGATGTCCATGCAATTGTGCACAGAGCTTCATGCAAGCACAGGGTGTGTGTGTAGGCAGCAGGCAGTCCAGTCCTGACATGCCCAAGGTGCAGCCCCTGCTGAGCGCATCCTCTCCACCTTCCCTGCCCCACCCCTGCCCAGTCAGCATGGCTGCTCACCTCACAGCTTCCATCTGGTCCTTCTCCTCCAGGAAGCCCAGCCGCCTCCGTACTTCATGCAGGAGCTTGGTTCCCTGGAAGCCGCTGCCTCGGCCATCACACTTGACCACAACTGCTCCATGGCTGCTCACCAACACGGTCTCCCAGGTCACCTCAAACCTCTCTGACACACTCTGACTCCCTGGGGTACCATCCCTAAAGAGATAGGTCTTTAGTATGCTGCATTGTGGCTGGCAGGTACCACATCTGAGAAGGCTTCTCCTGGGGGGGTCTGTGTGGTTTTCCCTTTACCGGGTACCCTATGCCTACTTCATTGCCTTGGGTTCTGCTGTCTATGATGGATGAGCCAGGTATCATTCATTTACCCCTCAGAGAATCCTAAGGCATCCCAGTCATCTCAAGGACAAGTGAGCGTGTGTATGAGTGTGTGTGTGTGTGTGTATGAGTGTGTGTGTGTGTGTGTGTGTGTGTAGGTGTAGGTTAGAGGTTAACTCTAGTGTTATTCCTCAGGCACCATGTGACTTGTTTTGTGCTTTTGGGGTCCCTCCCTGGCCAGGTCAGGGAGGCCCAGGGACACTTCTGATTGTTTCTCCAGTGCTGGGTTTACAGGGTATGTCACCATACCTGGCTTTTTAAAAACATAATTTCTGGACATGGAACTCAGGCCCTTGTATTGGTATGGCAAGCACTTTAGTTATGTCCAGCATGATGACACTCTTCCTGTCTGCTTGGGATTTGACACACCTTGGCATGCTCCCACCCCATCCCTGTCACTTGAGTGCCCAGGATATGGGACTCCTTCAGCCACTCCTTGGCTTAGGAACCTTCCTTATGGTTAGGTTGGAAGAAACAACACACAGACTGGCCCAGTGACTTTCCTGGTTTGAAGCGTGAGGTCCCACTCTGTCCTGGAGGCTTTCACTGTGAGGGTAGGGGCATTGCACATGGCTCTTTCCTTCTCCATTGAGGACACCACACTGTGGCTTTAAAAGCATTCCCAGCGGAGATTTACATCATGGGGAATGGCCACTGCTACGGACAGGGCTGGACTCAGTGAAGACAGATATGGGTGAGTGGCTCTTACGCCGTTATGCAGTTAAGTGCAGGGATGTGTTGTGAGAACTGTGCTGTTTGGATGTGCTGTGGTATAAACATCAAACAGTTATTTGAAGAAGACACTAGACAATGTGATCTTATGGGACCATGGTCCTATATGCTTGCTAAGTACAGAAATGTCCTCATAATCCCACTACAGTGATTAAAAAAAAAACAAAAAAACAAAAAAACACACCCTTGGTACCTGGGTGCCTGGGGGCGGGTTCAGGAGTTACAGAAAAACCCATCCTTTGCTGACAAACCAACCTATCTTAAGATCTACACAAGCAGCATCATTTATCTTACTTCTCCCCTTAAGGGTCCCCTATACCGCTGAGTCCCAAGAAGGCGCCCAGGGAAAGAAAGAGGCTGTCATACTTACACCACCAGCAGTAAGGGGTAGTGGGTGGTATCTGTGAAGGTGGCCGGTTTCAGGATCTGCATTGGCAAGTCTGGGGAAGGTAGAACACAGCCACGTCAGAGGCAGCGGGGCAGCAGGGCTGGACCAGTGTGCACCCTGCTTCTGTGTCTGTATATCTGTGTTTGCTCTGGGGGAGGGGAGGGAAGTCCACACAGGGAGCTTCCACAACAACTTGGTGTGGGCACTTGGGCAGGTCACTGGCGTTGTAGCCCAAATGTCTGAAGCTCAAATGTCACCTTTCATACAGGAAACATCCTCAGGGCCCACTGGTACCTGCTGGTGGCAGAATTCCACACAGGGAGAGCACTTAAGGTCTGGGTCAGTCACAAACTAGGAATGGATAGGATTGTTTTAATTTATGTGTATGGGTGTTTGATATATATATATTTATGTGTGTATGTATATATATGTATGTACATGTATACATATACACACATATATACAGATTGTGTGTATATCTATCTCTATCTATACTACTATCTATCTATCTATCTACCTATCTATCTATCTACCTATCTACCTACCTACCTACCTGTGAGTGCCTGATGCTGCAGAAGCCAGAAAAGCGGAAAGGGTGTTGGATTCCCTGGAGCTAGAGCTACAGACAGGAGTGAGCTGCTTTGTGGGCACTGGGGATTGAACTCGGTCCTCTGGAAGAGCAACCAGTGCTTTTAAGTGCTGAGCCAGCTCTCCAGCCCCAGTGGATGGATTTCAGTGAGCAGTGCTTCTGGGAGAGGAAGACTGAGGTGAAAGGGTATGCTGAAGTGAGAGGTGAGGGCACCTCTCTACCACGACAAGTGGCTTTGCAGGTTCATACCAGGCAGGTCTGACTATCTGCTAGATCCTCAAGGACTGGACCCTAGGGAAGGAGTTGGTATATCTGTGGTCACCAAGGTCACTGGGTTTGGTCATCGGGAACATGGGATTGTGGGCGTGGGGGGTAACAATCAAGCCTCAGGAAATTATCCCACACCCATTTCTTTGTTCAGCCCACCTCCAGAACAAGCCTCGCTGCCCCAGCAGGAATTTGTTTATTGAGGGTAACTACAGCCCAGATTACTAAGGCCCAGCAATTAAATGGGAATTAGTGGCTTTTTCGCAGTGACTGCAGCCCTGGCAGCCTGCTCTGAAGCAGCCTTTCATTACTGACTCAGCCTGACTGCTAATGGCTTGCAAATTGGATCTGTGGCCCAGGGACTGGCGGAGAGGCAGGCGTTGCAGGATATCACAGAGATATCCACAAAACATGGTGTGGTTACACTGGGGGTAGACCTTTGGAAGTAGCTGCCTGTCTGAGGAGCACAGGAGGAAGCCCTTCTGAGTGCCATTTGCTTTCTCAGAAGCCTTATCTGGCAGCAGAAATAAAAACCAAAACTGCACAGGTCTGAGGAAGGGGATCAACACTATTCAGACTTTTTGCTTCAAAGGGTGGCTTCCTCATGTCAGGCCCAAGTGGACCTGGTGGTCCCTGGTACCCTCTTCTGCCACAGTGCTGGGGATGCCTCAGAGCAGTGCTGAGTGCTACTGATGCTCCTACAGGCCCTTTGTGGCTTTCCTAAAGGAAGGTGATGATGTCAGTTTCCAGAATGTGGAGATGGATGACAGCTGTAGGCAGAACAATGAGGAAAAGGGGCTGTGGAGCTGCGAGAGGGATACTTGAAGGGAAGTAAGTCACATTGAAACCTGGCCACAAAATCCCGGAGCAAGGGTCAGAATGACACGCTGGGGACAATATCCAGAGCATCGATGCAGACAGTCCCAGTCTCAGGCACAGCTTTTAAAATTCTCCCTTCTCCCGAGACTACCCTCTTCCTTTCTTTTCTTGTCTCCTTCTCAAAGCCTTGACAGAGGAAGGCTCTGGATATGGATGGGGTGGAGGGACCTGGACTCACAGCCCAGGCCATTTCCACCCCAGAGGTGGATGGAGCTCCCTACAGGACATCAGGAACAACACCAACATTTCTGGAAGTACTGTGATCTCATATGACTTGGTGAGGGACCTGGGGTGTTTTGGTGAGTGGTCCGGGGTGGACCACAAGAGTTGTTGGTGAGCTGTTGGTTGCATCATGTCACACTTGGGCTCCTCTGGGAGGGGAGTCCACAGTGGCCTCCCTGAAGCATGCTAAGTTGTGCTGTGGATGATGCTCTGGTGTCTGTGTCAACCCAAAGCCCACTGAAGAGGCGGTTCACAACCCAGAATCCAGTGCAGGCAACCTTCCTATACAACTTGGCTCAATCTCGGTTCTTCCCTGAATGCCCATGCCATTTGCTTTCTTTTGTAAATGAGTTGGCCCACTCACGGACACTGGACACTGGGGCTTTCTAGGTCCTACTGTGCCACTTGGGGTCCTTGCTTCCTACTCCTGGGAGAATGAACAGCCTGCACGTTTCTGCATCTCCTCTGGGCTGCAGAGCACAAGAGTACATGTTAACAGCCCAGTACCACTAGCTCCACTGATAAGTCAGAGCAGATGTAGCAGCCATCCTTGAGATGGCTCTACTTCTAGATGCCTGCAAGGCATGTAGCTCCACCTGTACCTCCAGTGAGTCCTGTCTGCTTCCCCTAAGCCTGGCCACCGTCTCCTCTCCAGCCAGAGCTCTGCCAGTGACTGTGGATCAGGCAGAATCCTCCCAGGAATTGAGGCCTGACCATGACTGCAGAGATGCTGGCAAGAGGGATCTGAATGAAGGACTTGGGGCACCTTTGAGCTTTGGGCGGGGGGTTTAAGAAACAGCTAAATAAATGTGCTGTGTGCAGTTGCAAGAGAACCTCAAAAGGAAAGGAGATGAAGCTCGCGGACACTGGACACTGGGGCTTTCTAGGGTTAAGGATAATGGGCAGCTCTGATTTCAGGGTCAGCCAGGTTGAGCTGAGAGCCACACATGCTAAGAGATGAAGTTTTGATAACTGCCCCACTGATTCCAGCAAACAGGATGGTTTTCACAGCCTAGTGTCAAGTCAACACTCAAGAAACAAGCCAGTGGCTGGAGTGTGAGCAGTATCAAGAATGACTCAGGCAGTGACAATGACACTCTTGGGATGCATTTCTCCAGTATCAAGGATGCCTCTCACCAGCTCACAGCCAGCATCTGGAGGCAGGACACTGAGCATGATGCAGAAGACAGAAGGTGTTCTCCCAGATGTGGCGAGCAGAGAAGTTCTGTCCTGATCTCTCTAGGAGAGAAATCATGAGCGCTGTCTGTGTTTTTGCTGCCACCAGATCATCTTGAGGGTTCGAATAGTGAGCTGGTGATAGGAATGGTGGCCAAGCAGGGAGGCACCTGGGTGGGTCTGGAGCCTCCAAGGTGTTCTATTGACCCTTCAAAGGGCACTAAAGTGGAACTTACTGTAATCTTCGATCTCAATTTTCCGGTACTCAATCTTAGGCATCTGCCGATCATTGATGGCCTTTTGCACATGCTCATTTGCTTCCAAGTCAAAGATTTCTGGAAAGATCAAGACAAAGACACATTGGATTCTGGAACCATGAGGGCTGGAGGTTGTCACATACTTCCTACACTGCTTCACAGGAGTGTCCCTGTAGGTTTCTTGCAGCTGTACAGAGAAGATGAGCTATCAGATAGCTTCATTCAAGACCCATGGTCCTAGCTTCAAATCAGGACCACGGGCACATCAGAGACCTCTGTGCTCTGTCTTCCTTCTCTATACACTTCTGTTCTCCCTGACATTTGTCATGGGTATGACCCATTCTAACGTCTGATGGATTCAGGAAAAGCCATGCTAGTTATCTGTGGGGAAAATTGGCTACCATTGATGACAGCAGAGAAGTCACTGGACTGCTTGCTACCTTTATCAGCCACCCCACCCCAGATTTCTTACTTTAACCTATAAGTTATCTGGTCATTTGGGACTTGGAGTTGGTGACCTTAATCACAGATAGCAAAGTCCCATAAACAATGTTTTGCAGTGTGAGGGCCTGGCCTTCCTCCAGGCTATCTGTTTAGGGTGACTGCACTGTGGCTTATCTGTGTGGCTCATCAGGTTACAACACACAAACACCCTGTCCGAAGTTTCTTCAGCCAGAAGGGAGAAAGCTGGTTTTGCTCACCTGCTGAAATGGCCATGTGACCCTATTTTACCATCTCATATGTAATAAACACACAGGACTTTTCTTTCTTTAAGGTTACATGTAGGGTTGGCTTTTGGCTCAATGTAAAAGGAAACTCTGTCTTCAAGGGACTCTGCCTTTAACTTGTCCAGTTTCTTGGAAGGCTTGAATTGGGAAATGTTTTAAAGCCATGGTTCTGTGAAGAACCTTGGGGTCTCTCATGACCCCTGCACAATTACATTGCCCCACAGGCATGGTTGTAAAGGCTGCTGTGGTCAGTGCTTTGTTTTGTTTTGGAGTGGGGGGGCACACACCATTGTGTGACTCCAGGATTGTCACCATCCACAGAGGCAGGGGCGGGGTGGGGGAGATTTCTTGTGCCTATGATGAGCTGATAAGCTGCCAAAAATGATAAGCTACCAGTCATACATAGCCATTCAGCTCAGACTTTCGCCTCAGTAGCCAACCCTGAGTTTTTGCCTGAGACTTTCCCTCTGTTACCGTGTGGTCTTTTGCTACCCCTCCAAGATTGCCACAAATGAAGCAGGTCTGAGAGATCCTCCAGGGGTCTCAGGGAGCCTTAGGCTGTGAGGTTCCAGAGTTCAGGCTGCTTGAGGAAACAGGACTGAGTGTTAACCATTCCCTGCCCTGTGTGTGATGCCAATATCGCAATGAAAAGCAGGCATTCAGTAATTTGATTGTAGAGTGTTGGGTGCTTGAAAGAGTAATTATACAGGGAAGTTACTATTCAATGAGTGCCAGGATTCTAACCCCATTCACTGATAGTCCCAGACTATGCTTAATGTAAGAATCAGGGCACAGACTGTGAGATGCTGTCTCAGGCTTCAGCACATGGAAGACCCTTGTGCTGGTTGGTTTTATGGCCACTTGATATAAGCTAGAGTCATCTGGGACTAGGAAAACTCAGTTGAGAGGATGCCTTCATAATATTGGCCTGTAGGTAAGTCCGTAGTGCACTTTCTTGATTGGTTATTGATGTGGGAGGGCCCAGCTCATGACCAGTGGTGCCAGCCCTGGGCTGGTGGTCCTGGGTTCTATAGAGTATAGGCTGAGCACTCCATAGGAGCAAGTATGCAGTATGCAACACTTCTTCATGGCCTCGGCTTCAGTTCCTGCCCCGGGTTCCCTGGATATATGATGAAATAAGCCCTTTCCTCTCCAAGCCACTTTTGGTCATGGTGTTTCATCACAGCTCTAAATAAGATAACCTGGGAAGAACCTTCCATTGTCACCACTCTGCCTAAATGTGTGATTGATCTAGGTGTGGCATGGGGAAGGGACCTGGGGGTGTGAACAGGGGTTGGCTGCAAACTTGGGAGCTCATGGATATCTGTACAATCAGCAAAGGCCCAGCAAAGACAATGGTCCCACTCAGCCTCTGCCACCAGGGCCCTATGGGAACTTCATCCGTGGAAGCGGGTAAGTGCCAGGACCAATTCATAGCCCCTCACAACTGGCCCAGCTCTCCTTATGTGTAATTTGTATGAACAAACTCAAATTCGACTCTACAATCTTACCCCCGGTTCTGGAGGAGGTTCAAATACAGATCACAAGTGTGAGCAGCTGCCCACCAAGCTCAGTTTTCCCATGGTGAATACATACACAGCCAAATACCCATCACCCAGGCCTGGCCCTGGCAGATCTGGCCTTGTGTGGGGCGTAGCAAGTTCTAATCTCTCACCGACTGTTCAGACTGCCTTTGAATAGCTCCCTCCTCTCTATTGAAATCCTACCTTCTGCAGAAGAGCACCAAAGCAACAGACTATTAAATTTAGTTAAATATTAGATTTCTCATTTAATGATTGCCCACACAGCCGGGTTTATCAGCAGAGAACTGGCAGTCTCACGGGGGAGTTGAGTTAAGCTAGTTTATTTGTTTCCCTAATTGCATTCAAAGAGGGCAGGAGCTCAGAGGAGAAATAAGAAAAGATCGGTGCATTCCCCGAGGACTCTGCCTTTGACTTCGGGGCAGCAGGGACCTCCAGGCAGCAGCACACACATGGCCACTCCTTAATTAAATGTGAGCCCTTCTAATATTTGGTGGAATTAGCTATTATCAGATCTGGACACAGTGAGCCCACAGAGACAAACGCCTGCTCAGGAAGCCACTCCCAGGACTCTGTGGCCTGCAGGCTGTTCCCACATGGCCCTGGGGCTTGGAGCAATCACCACCATGCCGAGTCATTGGAAAACTGGTGACCAGATTGCAATGGAAACCATAGGCAAATGATCTAGAGGGGAAAGAGGCTTCCTGGCCCTTGGCTTAGGGTTTCTTCTCTGTAGGCTGTGACTCTCCAGGCTGTGTAGACTGATGTACACACTGCATTTCTAGCAGCTCTGTGCTGCATGGGCTTCTGATGGTCAGGCAGTCCTGCCTCCCCACTCCCCAGGCTTTTGTCATTGCTTCCCCATGCATGGTTCTTCTCTGTGCTTGTTCTTTGTGGCAAAGGCCACCCATCAACCTCAGGCTATGTGACTCAGTTAACTCGAAGAGCAGACCCAGAAGTATAAAGACTTTTCAACTTGCTCACCTCAATTGGACCTTTTACTCTAAGCCCTCTGCTGCCTAGCTACCATCAGCTTGACAGCTTGTGACACAGAGTGATTGCTCTTTGGGTTATGTCTCTCATGATTCCCCGGATAGATGCTGAACATCTTGAAGGCAGGGTTCAGCTAAGTGGTCTCATCTCTAGTGGCTCCAGCATCATGATGAGGGCTGCTGGGTATGTTCAACATCCAGGGGCACTATATTCATGGAGGGCGGTGTTGTGGCTGGCATACTGGTCAGCTGCTGGTGCTTTAGAGTCCTTTGAGAGGTGCTTGCAGGAAGTGAGGTCTCTGGGTTGTCGCTATAGACACCCGAGGGTGTGGACACCATGCATCTGGCTTATGTTCTACTTGGCATTTATTACATGCCAGCTTGCTTATCCATGATTCTATAATGAGACTTCAAAGCTGGCCCCTGACCCTTCCCAGACGGCTCCTGTGTGCCCCTCTGGGGTTCAGAAGACTTTTTATAATCAGCAGGCTTTGTGAAATTGATTCCTAGGTCTCTGCCTCATGTCTTTGTCCCCATATCCTTTCTATTAAGGCCTCACACACAAGTGACACAGACCTATGAGTACCTTATCTGTTTCGGGTCTCCTGCCAGCAGGAGTCCACAATGAGGACTTGGGACCACGAGGTCTGGGTTGACCTAGGCAACTCCTGGTGATGGGCAAGGACTCTCTGGCAACACAGAAGGTTTGTGGCCCTTTGGCATCAGCAAAACTACCAAGAGATATGACTAAGCTTGAAATAAATCACCTCTAACTGTTAGCCACTTTTTGGCATGTAACATGGAAAGAGTTTTTAAAAAATGGAGGGAGCTGAAGAGATGGCTCAGAGGTTAAGAGAACTGGCTGCTCTCTCAGAGGACCCAACTCTATTCTTAGCACCCACAAGTGACTCTCAAGTATTACTCCAATTTCAGAGGATCTAATGCCCTATTCTGGCCTCTGAAGGCACATGGCATCCAATGAGGCACGATAGATATGCAGGAAAAAAACACCCTCACACAGAAAACAAAATTAAAACAAATAATGGAGTTACTAGAACTCTTCTCCACCTACTAGAAAGCTTTGGGAACACCTTCAAAAAACAAAGGGTCCAGTTACCACAGAAGCAGGAGAAGGCAAACAATGTCACTCCCTGATGTAGTTAGGGATTAGGAAGACCTGCCCCGTTCATACACCACAGCTGGGGCACTGGGGGAGCTCATCCCCACTCTACTAATGGCAGCATCAGAGTGTAATGTGTTCTAGATGCTTTGTATGGACATGTCGACAGTTCATTATGGCTTTATGGACATAGCAACTGTAAAAACAAACAAACAAACAAACAAAAAGCAACATTTAAACGATTTCATGCCTGTATGACATAGAATTCTGGGGGGGGGGTGTCCACAGCAGTTTAAAGAGTGAAAAGAAGGATGCAAAATTCTGACTACTGAAGAAGAAACAGTTGGAAGGGAAGAGGGTAGGAGTGAATTCAGATTCCATAGGATCATGTCATGACTCTTTGCAGTTCTTGTTCTTTTCTGTTTGGGCCTGAGGTTGGAAGCCAGGGTGGTGTGCATGCTAGCTAGGCAAGTGCTCGTCCACTGAGGTATACCCCAGCCCCATTCAGCTCTTTCTCCAGGAAAAGCTCTCAGATAACAACTCAAATATATGCTAGGAGACTCTCTTGACTCAGTTTACATTTAAATGGGGATGTGTCTAGGCAAGTAACCTTGGCTGGCCTGGACCTTACCGTGTAGACCAGGCTGGCTTTAAATTCATAGAGCTCCACCTGCCTCTGCCCCTGCACCCCGGGCTGGGATTAAAGGCTGCACCATCACGCCTGGCTGGCTTTTCTTTTTTGCCACCCATCAAATTGCTCCTGAAATATTTGAAAACTGTAGTTATTTGATACAGATTTTCTTTAAAGCTGGGGACAAATTTGGCACCTGGACACAGAACTGGCACCTGTCTCTCTTTGTGCATTGTGCACACGTCCTGTCACCAGAGCCATTCTCCATGACTGTGGCTGGGCAGGCTGTCCACTGAGGCCTGGGTCTACTTCCTGAGAGCAGAGTTCCACCCTGTAGACACAGCCTAGAAGCCTTTGGCACTGTCTTGGGATAGGTGCCACAACAGATGAGTAACTGTTTGGCTTGTCATTTCTGTGCCAAAGGTGATCCGCTGCAGGCAAATGTCCTGCTATGCTGGGGCCAAACAAGAGGCAGGGTTTTGAGGGCCAAGGGCTACAGAGAAATTGCAAGACCCTGGTTAGCATGTGCCTCTAGTCCCTGAACTTTAGGGGCAAATGGCTCTCTTTAATTGTTTACAGACAGGGTCCTATGTACCCCAGGCTGGCCTCAACTTGCTATGTATATGAAAATGACCTTAAATTTCTGGTCTCCCTGCTTCTACCCCTCTGAATGCTAGGATTTTAAGTGTAATCCCATGTCCAGTCTATCTGGTGCTGGGGATCAAAACCAGGGCACTGTACATGATAGGCAAAGATGCCTGAGCTACGTTCCAGGCTCACACGGTGGTTCTTGAGCTCCCTTCTTCCCTCCCTCCTCTTCTTTCCCAGGAGTTGGGAGAAAAGAGTCCCTCTTTAGTTGTGTGCAGTGGTTCTCTACCCTTCTATTCACCATCTGCAATGGCCTTTTGCCCTCTCTACCCTTCAGCCTTTCCTACCTCTATTGCCCATCGACACCAGATGTCTCCAAGGAGGGAAGTATGATAAGTCACCTCAGGTCCTGCATTGCACCAATCTAGCTCTACAGCTCTGCACAGATGCCCTTCATAACTGCATGCATTCTTGAGTGTTTTGTGCCTGGTGGGTGATACACAGTAGTGGGTAGGAAGGGTGGGGATGGCCCACTCAAAGGGACAGAGAGATGAGTGTCCTGTGGGCTTCACACAACTGCCAGATGCCAACTGGGCTGGTTCTTATGTACACAAAAAGCACTGACAGGGATGGGAGTGTAGTTCAGTGGTAGAACACTTTCTTAGCATGTACATCAAACAAATATGACAGTGAATACCCTCCCAAACCACCAACCAACTCCCAAACAGACTGCATAGAATGTGGGGGAGGAGAGAAACCTGCCTTCTTTCTATGTGATGGAGGTGTGGAACCCAGGAGGCCCAAGTGGACTCCAGAGTTCCTGAACTGGCTTTCAGGGTACCATGGGTAGGCAGGCTGGGGTGACCACCATGTGATGTCACCAGTGCACTCATTTTCTCCCAGAGGATGGGCAGCTGCCCATGAACCATCTGTGAGCCCAGCACTCTCCCACATGGGGCCCAGAGCCAACATCTGCCTTGTACTTCATCTATATGAACACCAGAACCCGTAGCCGGCAGATGTGGAGCTGCTGGTGTTCTCCCATCTCTGAGTGGTGAGAGGCCTCAGGCACACGAGGAGCCTGTGGCGCCAATGATAATGACATTCTTAAGGAAACAGCTTGTAAATAATTCAGAGTCATATCTGTCAACACCCCATAGGCTGTGTTTGGAGATATGATTTCCTAAAGTGGGGAGTCAAGTATCCCCAGGGGCAGGGAGGCTGGGGATGAGGATGAGAGGGAGGACCAAGCTCTCTGTATCAGTAATTCTAACTTTCTCATCAAGGCTGTGCTAAAATAGAATGACAAGCCTCACTGTCATCCAAACATAGCCCTCCTGATGGCCCAGCCCCCTTACCATGCTTGTGACCAACACAAGCTGCTCAAGGCAAGGTGTCCTACAGTTTCCTTAGATCCTCCTCTTCTTGAACTCAATGGCTTGCACACGGCTCCTCTGAAAGCACTGGGCTACAATCTCCCCAGAGAAGCCCAAGGGCCATTCAGGGGTGTGCTCCCAATAAGGAGGGGCCCAGGGGCTTTGCACACACTGACCTAGCAGTAGAAGGTGCCAAGAGCCTCTGGTTCAGTGTTCCCTCAGAAATTGCAAGCAGAGAGATTGGAATAGGGGTCCAGAAGCTACTATTTTCTTGGAAACCAAGACCAGAGGTCCTGGGTCCAGGCAGCTGAGCAGTCAGTGGATGTGGAGGGCTGGACAGGCACATGGGGAGCTTCAGTTTTTCTGTTCTTTCAGATTCTATAGTCTCTGCATGTTCCATGGTTCGTCTGGGCATGAGACTCAGGTTTGAACTAGATTCCTTTCTGTTTCATGGACACAATAACCCTTTGGCCTGAAAGCAATTTCATTTGTCATAACAGTTCCTCCATACTGTGACTGTGCCCAAGATTCAAGAAGTTCCAGATTTTGGAATGTTTGGATTTTAGATTTCTTGGCTACAGATACTCACTCAGCCTGCAAAGGATAAAGCACACCAAGGAGACACCTTTTTTGACTGGAAATGCATTCCACCACTTGGGCACTCAGGAAATTCATCCAAGGTCCATTCCTCCATTCTCCTAACGTGCTGAGAAGTCCACAAATGCATACAATATTCCAGGTGTCCCTGCCCCTACATTGGTCATAACACATGCTGAAAAGCTGCTGGCTTCAGGGGCCCTGACTGGAAGACACCAGTCTGGATGGGCAAGAGGATGAGCACAGAGCATCTGGTTGCTAGGTGATACTCTGCTGGCTTTTGAGGGTACCCCACTGCAGGCTGGTGAGGTGTGGTCTTCAGGTTAGGCTGCTTCACTGTATCTTTTTCCTGCTCCTGGAACTTCCTCAGGGGATTAATAATTTTAAGTCTCTTTCCCTCTCTGTATGTTCATCTGCAAGTATGAGCACCTGCATGTCAGGGTGCATGTGTGGAGGTCCTCACCTTCCAGTATGTTTGAGACAGGGTCTCTTTTGTTCTCTCTTCAGGGATTATTTTTGATACAATGTTTCCCTGTGTGTAACCCTCCCTGGCTGTCTTGGAACTCACTCTGTAGACCAGCATGGCCTTAAACTCACAGAGATCTGCCTGCTTCTGCCTCCAAGTGCTGGGATTAAAGGCCTGTGCCAGCACCACCTGGTGCTCCAGGGCTTTTTTTAAATGATGGGAGAAAGTGACTGATCTGAATCCTACCTGGGTTCTAAGGCTGCTCCCTGCCTAGGGCATACATCCATGGTGTGCTTCAGACTGTTCACCTGGCACAGAGCCTGCCAGGAACTTGTGACTATGGCATGGACAAGATACTATCACCTAGACTAGTAGCCTAGGGGCAGAAGGTACCTCACCCAGAAGTTACTAGTTTGACAGGTAAGAGACAAGCACAGGGCATTACATACAAGGCTGTCATTTCAAGTGGTGTTATTGTAGACTGTGGCATGTAGTAGCAGGCTAACAGTCACCAAGAGAGAGTCACTCACTCCCACAGACACCTGGGTGCCACACACAGTCCTGGCCCTGACACTTGACCAGGTTTGCAGCTCAGCTTTCCCTTCCAGGTGGACCTGGCCTGCTCCTCTCAGAGTGGAGCCTCCCAGGAGCTGCAGAAGGCAGCAGGCTGGTGCTGGAGACTCAGGGCTTTGGGCTCAGACAATGATTTGTAAGCCATTTGCATTCTGTGTGTCCCAGACAGACTAAATTCAGACTGTAAACTTTTCATCTCTGAGCCATGTGAGCTCACTAGAGCATATGCTGTGACTTGCTTGCTGCTGTCTCTTAACTTTTAATGGCTGAGCCATCTCTGTAGCCCAGGGGTCTTAATCACTCTGTTGTATATATCCCCCATGTCATGGACATGACCATTTGACCTGCAGGCAGATAAGCCTCTCAGTACCAATGGAGACTTAGAGGAGACAAGAATGAAGTCTTCTGTGGACTCCTGTTCAAAACCCAGCCAGCCTTGGGCTACATCCAGAAGATTTCATCCATGACCTGGGTTATCTGGGAAATGCTCACCTAATTTTAGCACTCACAGGCTGTTGTGAATCCTCCATTTTAATCATGGACCCTCAGCTGGGTCACATTGGTCCTCACAACCATTTTATTTATTACCAGTAGTGGCTATAGAGGGGCCCAGTGGACCTATAGGGCTTGATTATCCCTCTGCCCTGGAGTTGGGGTGGGGTTGGATCATCTCATGAACCTTGGCTTCTACTTTCCCAAGTCTCAGAAAGATTCCAGAGGAGCAGCACTTACTTCTCTTATCCGTGGTGTTATGCACAGTCACAGTGGGTACACCAGGGCCTGGACCAGAGAGCAGAGAGACCACAAGAGAAAAAAAAACAAGGTCATTAGTTTAGAACAAAAGAAGAAAATAAGCTTTGATTATGCCACGTGGACTGTCTGGGTCTAAAGGATAATGCAGCCAGAAGAGACATAGCACTCTAATGTCACAGCCAGATGGTCATTATCAGGGTCCCTGTCCGTGGTGCAGACAAGTGGGGGAGGTGCTTTTGCCACCCAATAATGAGGACCTGAGTCTTTCTGATTCTGGCTTATAGCGCTTAACACGACGATCTCAGATCTACCCACTTTGTAAAAATTATGGGCTCGCATTTTTAGTGGCTGAATACCACTTCACTTCCATGTATATGCTATATTCTCCTTATCCATCACCAGTGGGTGGGCAGCTTGGCTGATGAACAAAGCTGTGACAAACACAAGTGGCTCTGGAATATTCTGACTTAGATTGCTTCTTCTAGGAATGGCACAGTCAATCAGAGCCCTGGAACGGCCATACTCAATTTCTATAGTAACTGTTTTACAATTTTTGTCAGCCCTCCCCGCTTTCCTCATGCTAAGCATCTTGTTTATCCATCCAGAGACAGACTGGTCAGGAAAAAAATGCAGGCTGCTTGGTTACCTGTGAATTTCTGAGAAGCAATGACAACTTTTCCACCATAAATATATTCCTATTGTTTGCCTAGAACTCCCATGTGGCTAGGCAGCTTTTATTTGCCGACTCCAGCACTCCTTACCTACAGCAGAGAAGCCATGGAACATCTGACTATACCCGGTGGGCGGGTAATGACTGACCACAGGGTTAAACCACGGAGGCACACTAAGTGCCCTGTTCTGCCATCCCTTCCCCCTGGGAACCCGTGCAGAGAGCAAAGCAGTCATTGAGAGATAAGGAGCCTACAGCTGTTTGCTGTGCACATTTTGCAGTGAGAAAATTTGCAAACAGAGCATGCTCCATGCTCTTATTAATAATGTAAACAATTATTATTTATTCAGTGCCTATTATGTAAAAGGCATCCTGGTAACACTTTCCTATGAATAATTTCGAGCCCAATCTTCAGAGCACTTCTGCAGAGACACTTCAAACAGTTTACAGACAGGAAAACAGTGACAGAACAGGCTTTAAGTCCTTTGTCACAGTCACAAAGGGAAGAAGGTACAGAGCTTGGATGAGGTTTCATTTTCTAGTATGGTGACTTAATACATGCCTCGAAATAGGCATGTTAAAATGTTCAAATAGGCAGTTAAAAAAAAAACTTTTATTATAAAAAGTTGCAAATAAAAAAATCACATGCAAAATTAATCAGACCCAAGGTTTGTACAACTCAATGAACTTTTATACCATTAGCACAGCCATTCAACACAGAGTTGTGGAGCTTCACATTGCCTTTACACATTCTCTATTGAATACATTTTATGCAATTATCTACCACCAAACAGGGAGATTCCATGACAGCTAGAACTAGAACAGCTTTATATCTGCTTTCATAACTATGTTATAAAATGCTACAATATTTAAAACACACACACACACACACACACACACACACACACACACGCCTCTACATAATCCTGGTTGTACTGGAACTAACTTTGTAGATTAGGCCAGTCTTGAAATGACAAAGGTCTTCCTGCCTCTAGTTTCTGGGAGCTAGGATTAAAGGTATGGACTATCACACCTGTCTTATTTTATATACATTTTGGAGTTATTTGTTTTTTCTGTGTATATATGTATGTGCACATACACCTTTGTATCAAGTGCCTGCAAGGGCCAGAAGAGGGTGTTGGGTCCTCTGGAACTGGAGTTAACAGACAGTTGTGAGCCACCATGTGGGTGCTGGGAAATGAATCTGGGTTCTCTGGAAGAACAGCCAATGCTCTTAACTGCAGAGCATCTCTCTAGCCATTATTATTATTTTGTTGTTTTTTCTTTTAATATAGGATTTCTCTAGGTAGTCCTTTCTTGGAACTCACAACGTAGACAAGGGGGCCTCAAATACACAGAGATCCTCCTGCCTCTGTCTTCTAAGTGCTGGTATTAAAGACATGTCACCAAATCCAGCTTTATTTTTTATTATTTTTACTTATGAGTAGGTACGTGTGTCTGTATGTTGGTATGTGCACATGAATACAGATGCCTGGAAAGCCAGAGGCATCATCAAATCTTCTGGAGCTAGAGTTACATTGCCTGTCATGGGTGCTGGGAACCAAACTCAGGTCCTCTGGAAGAGCAGTAAGTGCTCTTAACCACTGTGCCATCTCTGCAGCCCAAATATTTTAAATGCACAGAAAAAAAAAAAAAACAACATAAAAACTTGTATACATGCTTACAAACATCACTATATCTTAATAACAAACCAGACTTGTCTTGATTGCTTAGAAAATAAGACAGTGGATGGATTTGTACTTTCCTGAATATTCTTCTCTAATTGCCATAAAATTTTCAGTGGACAGACACAGGGAAGGGCTGAGGAGATGCTCATCAGACAAAAGTGTTGACTGTGCAATCATGAGGACCTGAATTTGGATGCTCAAGACCCATGTAGAAGTTGGGTGTGGTGGCTGTGCCTGTAGTCCCAGCAGTGTGGAACTAGATGCAGGAGCATCTGACTTTCATATGTTCATGCACACATATGCACATGTCACAGATGTGTTAAAAACATTAAAAAAATGACCCTCCAAGCATTCAACTAGGCCTTCCTTTCATCCTTCCTTAAGATTTTATTTTTATTCGTGTGTGTGTGTGTGTGTGTGTGTGTGTGTGTGTGTGTGTGTATGTGTGTTAGTAGTGGGGAGTTAGTAGTGTGTTAGTATGACTCCCTTGAGGTGGAGTCATAGGAGCTTATGAGCAACCAGACCTAGGTGTTGGGAACTGAACTCAGGTCTTCTGGAAGCACAGTGGGTGCTCTTAACTGCTGAGCCATCTCTCCAGTCCTTCCATATATATTTCTTGAAAGGAGACTGTAAGATGGCCAACAAGAAAATTAAAAACTACTCAAATGGCACTAATTGTGGAAATCTAATTAAAACCACAATGAGATGGCATATTGCACCTTTTAGATGAGTGCTTCAAGAGACAAGTGATGGTATGGAAAGAGTTTTTGTGCATTGTTGGTGAGGCTGTAAATTAAGTACAGTGATTATGAAAAGCAGCATGAAGGTGTGTCAAGACTTACAAACAAAATTTCAACTAGGTATCCTACTACTGGGTGTGTACCTCAAGGAAATGCAGTCAGAAGGCTGAAATACTTGCACCCCTGTATCACTGAACCATTGTCCACACAAGTTAAGACACGGAAGCAACCAAGTGTCCATCTCTGAAGAACTGAGCAAAGAAAAGAGCATATGCCCTTGGGACCACTTGTTATCCCCCAAACTCCTGCCATTTGTGATGGCATCAGCACACCAGAATGGCATTCTGCTCAACAAATGAGCCCGACACAGAAAGATGAGCACACTTCCCGAGATGCAAGGGAGGAAATAGGATGTTGGTGGCCAGAGGCTTTGGGAGGGTGGGAAGAAATGCTGGATGAAGGGTGCAAGATTTTCCCTAGACAGACAAGAGAAATACATTCAAGTGGTCTGTCATACCACTGTGACTGTGAATAATAGAAATGTCTTGATACCTTGCTTAGCCTAGACACAGTGGGGAGGGCCTTGGTCCTGCCTCAACATGGTGATGGGACAGACTTCATTGACCCCCCCCCAATGGGAGGCCTTCCTCTCTCTGAGGAGCAAAAGGGGTTGGGTGGAGTGAGGGGAAGGTGGGGGAAGCCAGAGGAGAGGAGGGAGGGGGAGCTGGGATTAGTATGTTTAAAAAAAAAAAGAAGTGATTTGTATCTCTGAAAACCAATAGGAAAAATGTGCCTCTGCAGTGTTACACAGCACACGTCAAGGTCACACACCTTGTACAGTCTTCATGTCTGCTCTTGGTCCCACTTTAATTGCACAGTTACTAATTTAATGCCACTTTGGAAGTTACTGCTGTTGGCATTTCTCTGTGTTCTTCACAAGAGCTACAACTTTCAAAAGTGAAACTATTGCTACCCCACCCAGACAGAAAGACACATACACTGAGTGCCCCACCTGATCCCTGGCACAATTCTATGTCTCCTCCCACTTCCTACCCCAGAAGGGCAGTGGGCAATGCATATAATGACCACTTGGCTGTGACATATCAAACTAGAAATTAGGCTGACGAAAGGTTTCTTGAGACTATTCTCCGTGCCCTATTTTTAATAATTCAGGGTACTGTGGCTCTGTATCCCTGATTTTCACTAACTGCTACCAGTCACTGTCTTCATTCACAGCTCTGAGAGCCATGTTCCACTTGGGCAATAGCAAACTTCTTAGACTGGCCAAATATACTATAAGTCAAACTATACTAAAGAAGACACTGACCCAAGTTTACAGACCACCCAGAGGACCCTTCTGTGCCCACAGATTATGATACTATTTCCCCAACCCATGCAAAGCCCTGACCCATGCTCATCATGTTTTATTGCTGTAACAACACTGGAGGGAACAACTCCAGAGGAAGGGCTCATTGTGGGTGTGGTTTCAGCTCATGATTTCATTGCTTCTTGGTCATGCTGAGGTCTCAGTGGGGAGTGTGTGGTGGAGCAGATTGGCTTACCTCATGGTAGATAAGAGAGAAGGGAGGAAGGAAAGGAAGAGAGGGAGAGAAAAAGGGAAAGAGGAGAGGGAGAGGGAAAATGGGGGAGGTCTATCCTTCAAGGCAACTCTATAGTGACCTTCTTCTTCCAAGCAGATGCTCCCTCCAAAGTGTTCATTCATCTGTGAACCCATTAATAGGTAACACATTGCTGAGGCCAGAGCCCCCATAGTCCAGTGATCTCTCAGAAGCTCACCAGCAGGCAGCTAAGCTTTTACTACATGAGCCTTTTTGAGGGCACTGCTTATCTAAGCCATGACATAGCCCAGAGTAGGCAGGTGCCCTAACTCTGAGGCCACCTGTGGCTCCAGTGCCATCATATTCCCCT